GTAGTGGGCTGGCTGGCTGGTGAACTGCCTGAGAACCATTCTCTTCCATTTACAAGAGTATCATTATAAGGGAATGGTCACTGACGGGTGCTTGGAGAATGGGGATAACTAATTTCATAAGCATTGCTAGGAGGTCTTTGTTAATAAGAGATCTCAATGTGTAGAGTTATTTGGTTTCTGGAGGAGCTTTGTATTCCAATGGAAGTAGAAGAATGAAGATATTTGAGTTTGGTATCAGAGCCTTCTATTTAGTTTACTGGGTGATTCTAAGGAGTGCTCTAATGGATAGTTACCATGATCTCCTACTTTGGTAGGCCATCCCTTCTAGGATCTCGATTTTGTCGCTCTCGGAACGGATCTCTTGATGTTGTTTTTGGGATGTTGAACTCCACTCATAGGGATCTCGATTCCTACTGTTGGGGATCTCGATACCAACCTTAAAAACCAACACAACAACCAAACTGATGATTTTCTTTGTTTATAGCCAACTAGCAACACAATTTGCTTGCTTGCTTGCTATCAATATTGGGATCCCTACTTTAAAGAAATACATAATTCTAGATTATCATACACTTTAAGGTTGGCAACAAGATTATAATACACTTTTAAGGTTGGTAACAAAAGCCCCAAAAAGTTGGGATCAAGATCCCCAAAATTGGAATCTCGATCCCTAACATTTGGGAATCGCGATTCCTAACATGTGCATTGTACGGATGACATTCCTAGCTATAGGGATCTTCTAGCATTTCATGATCCCTCGCTCCCGATCCTGATCCCTCTCTTGATCCCAACAACTATACCCTAATGCAATGAAAACTTGTTAAACTTACTCATCATCATCATCATCATCATCATCATCATCATCATCATCATCATCATCATCATCATCATCATCATCATCATCATCATCATCTGAGCCTTATCCCAACTATTTGGGTCGATTGCATGAATCCTGTATTGCCATTTCGCTCTATCGAGGGCCATAACCTCAGTCAGAACATAGGTCACTATTTTTTATTCACTACTTCCATCCATATCCTTTGGGGCTCCCTTTTACTCTTTTAGGGCCACCACTTGAACCAAATCATCCCTCCTAATCAATGCTCTTCTAGGTTGACACGTGCACATGATCAGACGAACTAATTCTACTTTCTCCCATTTTATCGCCTATTGGTGCTACTCTTAAGTTCTCCGAATTTCTTTATTTTGAATTCTATCCTCCTTGTCTTGTAACTCATCTATCTCAACCATGGATGTGTTGTTCCTCGTGCCTAACATTCCGTCCCATAAAGCAGAGCTGGTCTTACAACCATCTGATAGAACTTCCCCTTCAATTTTATCAATATGCGACGATGACATAAGATTCCAAAAGCACATCTCCGCTTCATTCACCTAACTCTAATTTATGAACAACATCTTCCTCAATCTCTACTTTGTTATGGATTATCAACCTAGACATTGAAAATAATATCTTTTAAGTACTTATTGGCCATCAGTATTAACTAAATCCTTGTTTCTGCTCTTATTATTTCTAAATTTGCATTCTATATATACATATATTGTCTTAGTCTAACTGATTTTAAAATATTTATATTCTAAAGCATCCCTTCAAAGTTCTAACTTTGTGTTTACACCCATGTTGGAAAATCGGGCGATCTAACCGGTAACCGCCCGGTTAGATCGGAATTGGTCACTGGCCGGTTTCAGTTTTGGGCAGTTTTGGTGATCAGACGGTATTTTAACAAAAAAATTTCAAAAAAATGTATATAAAATCCCCAAAGTAAGAAATTTGGTTTGTATGCATTTTTTAATATTCTTTACATATTGGTAAAGATTAGAAATTGTTTTGCTCATTAATACTCACTTTTATATTTTCCCATCTTTTTTGAAATTTTTTAAAAATACCCCTAAGCATAAATTGATTCTTTAAAATCCAAAATTTTGATTAATTTTCAACGTCATTTGAATGTCTTATTTTTATCATTCTTTATATGCTTTTCATATTTTATTATATTTTATTTTATTTTTCCAACTATTTTTGACTTCTTGGGACTTGCCTGGTTAAAACGGATGAATCGACCGGTTTACCGGTTAAACCGCTTCCGGCCCCATGTCTGGTTAACCGTTCCTGTTCGATTTATTGAACACTGGTTTATACCATCTTTAGTATCATCACGAAATTACATCTATAAGCTTACTCATCACAAAAAAAAGAAGAAGAAAAAGTAAAAAGAATAAAGAAGAAGCTTCTTATTGTCTCGATGGGTCCGCGCTGGGGATAGGATACTTGTTAGAAACATTTTCTGGACCAAGGTTTATTATTCTGCAATGTTCACATGAGAGAGGAAGAGATTATTGAGCACTTGCTTTTCCACAATGGCTTTTGGTCGAAGGATTTATCTTCTTTCTAGGGCTGTTTGGGTTAATTAGGTGATTAGGTCCTTGCTACTTCTGCAATAGCACGAGAGAACGCATGAAAAGAGAAAGAGACCTTCATAGAGCAAGGAAGCGATTGAAGGTTGGGCATTTTTGAAGCTTAAAAGGTGTGCCCCGAAAGAACTTTTAGTGAAACTGCTCCCTTTTTGTGTTGCTCTTGGTAAGCAAGCTACCTTGCATTCTAAAGCTTGAAGCTTAGCGAAGGGAAGAAAGCAACTCAGTGTGAAATGAGAGTGGAAAGAAGTGGCAGAGATGAGGGTAGGCAAGGTTCGCTGACTCATTGAGCTGCTGCTTTGATAGTAGAGTAAGAGGTTACTTAGCTTAGTATCTTAGCCCGATAGAGTTAAGGTAAGGAGAAGAAAGCGGTAACTGCTTCTCGCTTTCCTGCTTCTCGCTGAGTGACGTGCTTACTATCTGCTTCTAGCTTCGCTTATGCCTCTTGTTGGGTTTGCTAGCACAGCTTTGAAAGTAGAAGACAACGAACAAGTAGACGGAGAAGCAAGGTACAAAGCTACAACTACTTCTACGCCTTTAGCTTTTTAAGCTAAGATAGAAAGTTTATAATCTTGCTTGGTATGCTTAAGAGTGCTTTTTTTCTTTGGCTTTGCTTGGTACGCTTAAGAGTGGTTTTACTCGCTAGAGGGCTTTGACGCTTGTTACTTTGTTGCTTAGCTTCAACGGTTTCCAGCTTTGCGCTTTGTTCACTTACGTTAGTTTTAGGGCATCAACAACCTAACTCCTCCCTTCGCTATGCTTTGTGCCTTCCACGTCGCTTTGTTCCTTCTACCAACAAGCTAAGGAGCTGAGTGAAGACACACGCTTTCGCTTCGCTCACTTACGTTAGGGCAACCTCTATACCTTGGCTACGCTTGCTTTGTGCCTTCGCTTTGCTTACGCCTCTCACTAACTCATTTGCTAGCACAGCGTTGAAAGTTGATTTGCTATGTGTAGCTTTTTTCTTCCCAATGCAGTGGGTCCATTGCTTGATTCTATTAACGTATCTGTTAGCTTGCAGAGTAATGGCCGGATTTTACAGGATTGGCTTCTTCATAGCAGAGTATTTATGATAGAATTTTGTGCGCTGTATCACTCATGCTCAAGCTACAGGTTTTTTTTTTTTTCGGGGTGGGGGGGAGTGGAGAGCAGGGCTGTTACTTCAACAAGGAGTGCGGATTTAAATTTCACTGGGAGCTCAAAAGGTAATCCCTGTCTGGTGGGTGCAATGTTTAAACAGCTGGTCTAACTCGACTCAAGTTGGTTTAGGGGTGTCGACTTAAAATCAGCATCCCTGTTTTCTGGATACTTTTGTTATATTCAAAATGTGAAAATTCGGCAACTATTTTGTCGACTTTCAACTTGATTTGCAGACTCAATTTGTTTTTTGAAGGACTGATTTTGACGCAACTTCAACATTTTCAAGCCAGAGCTTAGTTTGCCCTGTTAGGATGATAAGCAATATTGGTAGATGTTATGTAATATTGGTGGGGCAAGCAAACACTCGTAATGTATGCTGTTTTAGGGTTCAAGTGTGTTTCTCTATTTCTTCAAAGGGTGTTTCCATTAATGTCCCTGGATGGCTTAGGGAGGACTTGCTTCTGTTTACCTATTAATTTCAAGATTTATGTGGAACTTTACCTTGTCCTTCCATATCATCGAGAAGCATGGGTTGCTGATGCATTCACAAACCATGACTATGTTTTGACATCATAGATGTGAAGTGGGATTCGCTTTGTGGTGACCTGAGCTTGTAATTTGGATTAGGGCCATTTCTGTGTTTTTTCTTGCCTTAAAAGGTTCTGTTTGTACAATTTTTAAGTAGGAGAACCCTTCTATCGCAAAACTTGGATCTACATGGGTTCTCTCTCTATTTATTGGGAGGTAAGCTGGGTTGTAATTGCAGCCACCAAATAAGATGAACATGATTCTTCTGATGGAGTTGTGGTCTCAAATGCCACATGCGCTCTCTCTTGTGCATATACCCCCTCTCCAATGAAGTTATTCATTGCTCCAGACATAGCTGTTAACATAGGGAATTCATGCTTTCTTGCATGCATGCATGCTTGTATGGATAGTTTGGCTTAGAGGACGGGAAAATCCAAGGTCAGAAATCTTAATTTTCCTCATGCAAACCAGGTGCCTCACGATATTGATTTGTGACTGTATTAAGCAAGTAATGGTCTTAGGTTGCTGCGTTTTCTGTTGGGCATTTTTGACATCATACGAGTCAAATTGCATGCACCACTACTGAGATTTGTGACATGTATAATATGAATGCTGTCCTCTTACTTTTATTTCTCAGCACCTACATGCATTTTTATCTGTTATACATGCATTTTTATCTGTTATAGGGTCCCTGTCTGTTCTTGTATTGTTGTTTTTTCAATTGGCATCTTTTTGCTCTGAGGGAAGGATTTGCCAGCACAGGAAGTTTTTTAAATCAAGCTACGACATTGTGTAAAAATTTATTGCAATTAATGTGTTTGAATATATCCTTTGTGGCTGTTTTGTTGTCAGTGGCTCTGCGGGAACTTGTGCTGATATAAATCTGGTTTCTTATGTCTCAGGAAGCTTTTGGTCGATACCTTGACATGCATGGGCTTTACAATGAGTATATAAACTCCAAGTTTGGCGAGAAAATTGAGTATTCTGCATATCTAGATGTATTTCCACAAACTCATAAGATTCCCCTCAATTTGAAGCTAACCAGGTGAGCAACAAGCACTAAGTATATTTCTGGAAAGGTTGAATTTGTATGGAAAGTACAGTTTTTCTGTTTAGTCAGAAAAAATAACTCCAGTCAAATAATCCTGAATTTCACCTGTCTATACTCTCATGTTTGAAGTTTGCATGTCATGAAAACCAACTTACTGACCCAAAAAGAATCCTCACATGTTATATTTCTGCAGACAGTACAGAGAGTATTTGGATCATGTCCTTGATTACCTGACAAGTTTCTTTCAGCGCACTGAACCCTTGCAAGATGTTGATAGAATATTTTCAAAGGTTAGCTTTTGTCTTTTACTTGTGCTTTTTCTATCTCAACTTGTGACTTTTTTTTAATTACACAGATTTGTAACTTCTTGGGTTCTATTTGCGCTGCTAGCTTATATATTTTTGTTTTCTGGGCCTTATCATTTACATCTTAATCTTATTGTTCCCAGACCACTGGGCTCCCTCCAGAGGGTCTCTCTTTGATCTATCTTTGTTTGATGGAGGGCATTCTTGAGTATTTTGTTTTGGCCTCGACACTCCATCCTGATTTTTCGAGGTTTTGCAATTGTGTGACCTGCCTGGAAAGGCGAGTGAATCTACAACATTAACATCTTCCTTTCATTCTGGAACAGGGAGTGTTCTAGACCACTAAAGATCAACTCATCTCGGAAACTAATATGATGAAGGCATGAATAGTACCCCATTGATTAAACCCACTGACTATTGTGTAGGAAGGAAGTTCATCTCATACACTATTGACCTGCGGGCTTCTGTGTCAGTGGCTTAACATGCCCACATTCAAGCTTTCTTGCACATAGACTATATTCCGTTGATTCGTTTGTTTGGGTGTTGTACCTGTATCGGACACATGCTGATGCATACAACGATACATCATAAATATAGTTCATGAAATTTGATCATCTGTTTTTAATTGGTAGATTCATAAAGCTTGATATTTATATGAATTCATCCAACAAGGCATAAATTCTTTTGGCTTGTCATAATGAAATGGAATATTAGTAAGCAGTGTTGGAGCTTGTCTTCTCTTCATAACATGGCTGTGAGTTGGTGTAACCTGGGAGATCTAATCCAAAATGTTCCAAAAAGGAACACTTGGGACGAATTATTGAATCCCGTGATGTGTATTTATGTATAAAAATATTTAGAGGGTAGCACCAAAGTTGGAACTTGTGCTTCTATTTCTACCTGCAACTGAAAGATATGAACTGGGGTCAGATGAAATAAACCTTGGATGAATGGTTATGTAGGGTCATTTTTCAAAAATGTTTCTCTAGCCATTTCATGCATTCAAACTATAAATGCTACCTAAACAGCTTTATGACTCCTTTTAATTGAAATTCCTTTTAACCTTCTGTGGTCAATATATTTATATTGAACGCCCCTAAAATAATGTTGTGTTTGACTCCTAAGCTTGCCAATACAAAAATGCGAGGGTATATCTTATGTCTCCTTGCTGATAAATTGGGTTTTTTGCATCGGGTTTTGGCAGGTTGAGGCTGAATTTGAAGAGCGCTGGGCAGACGGTAATGTGCATGGATGGGAAGGCAAAGGTCTGGAAAATGGGAACTCCACAAATCAAGGGGCCATCATTGATCTTGATTATTATGATAATGCCGATGAGCTTGTTTCACTAGGCCCCAAAAAATTAAAAGAGGTAGGTATCTTTTATACTGAAATTTTGATTTCTCCTCACAGGCTTTATGTACAGTATGATATAAATGTTAGAGCGCTTATTCTTCTAATTGCTTGGATATTTTGGGTTCATCTGTAAAGTCTTCCTTTTTTGTAAAAATATGTTAACTTTTGTATTGAGTTAGAGAAAAGAGTACAAAGGTGTATGAGAGGGAGGCACCAAAACAACCAGGGGCCCTGTACAAAACCCTCACGGGTCCAAAAACTGTGCGCCTCTAAATGGACTACCAAAAAAATGCTTCTCATGTACAACTTAGTAAACAATAGGAAAAGAGAAGAAAATGAGCTAGGATGATGATCAAGCTCTAGTTGGAAAAATTATGGATTGGGTGGCTCCGGCTTTTGCAAGAGCATATGCGACGGAGTTTACTTCCTGCTGTACATGTCTCCAAGAGACTTGTGAGGCTTTGCAAATATGGGAGATCTCGTCAAAGAGGTGATGTAGTCTCCAAGGGTGAGGTGCGATCTCGGAAGGCCATCCTAAAAAATTCTTGTTGTCCCCTTCAACGATAAGGAAAGGTTACCAAGAGGGCTTGAAGCCTCTAAGGCCTTTGAGAAGGGCGGCGGCTTAAGCTGTAGTAAAGTCTCTGACACCTATATGTCTAGAGTAAGAGAGCCCCTCTTTGAATCTCTAAAGAGGCCTTCAACACCTGCTGGTCCTGGGTTTCCCAGGGAGCCACCATCGAAGTTAAGTTTGATTTCATCTCGGTTGGGTGGTTGCTGAAGGGAAGAGTGAGGAATTCTTGTATGGCGCCAATTGATGAGGGTCTGCCAGCTTTGGTAGAAATCAAAGTTAAAACCGAGCTTAAAGAACTTGCTATTCTTGGCCCAACAAATAATGGAGGATCTAAGCAGGTCGATGAGGTAGTTGAGTGTCTTGTGCTTCCCTTGGAAGATCCTTCCATTTGTCTTTGTCCATATAGTCCAAATAAGGGCAGACATCGTTGCTCTCCAGAGGAGTAGCCCCGGTTTGGGCCAAGGGGGGAGAAAAGGTGTTGGAAGTAGGGTTGGCAACGGGTCGGGTCCAGTTGGACCCGGACTTGGGCCCGGTCCCGGATCCGAATAGTGTTCGTGTCTAATATTTGGACCTGGACCCTACTCGTTGGGTCCATTTTTGGGACCCATACCCGGACTGGGGTTGGGTCCAGACATCGGGTCCCGGGTCGGGTCGGGTTTGGGTCCATTTGCCAATCCTAATAATATACATATATTATTTAAATATTATAACTAAAAATATATAATTATATTTATTTAAATATTAATTAAATATTAATTAAATAATAGCACATGGACCCGAACCCAGACTTGGACCTGAATAGTGTTTGGGTCCAATATTTGGACTAGAACCCGACCCGTGGAGTCCAATTCTTGGACTCATACCTGGAGCCAGGTTGGGTCTAGACGTTGGGTCCTTGGTCCATTGTCACCCATAGCTTGAAGATATGAGGAATGGATGGAGGGGTAGTCCACTACAATCCAAAGAGGCTCAAGATGTCAGCCCAGAGGGCTTGAGCAAGAGAGCAGTGGACAAGGAGGTGAGGAGTTGGATTCCTATCATTAAGATACGTGATGCAGTCGTTTGGTAGTTGTAGGCCTCTCCGCTGAAAACGGCCCACCGTGAGGGCTCTTTTCGAGCTCACTATGCAAGTGAACCATTTAACCTTAGGGGGAGATAGGTTGGACCAGGCTTGAGCTGAAGTAGAAAGGGAGCGGGATATGGCTTGGGCAAGGATCACCCGGTAAAAAGATGAGATTGACAAAGTCCTCGAGGGTGTGGCAGCCCAGGCTGGGAGTCTTGGCCCTGACTAGGGAGGAAGAATTAATGAACAAGGATGAGAGAATAGAGAGTGTAAGGAAGTTGGCTTCCTCGTTGTCCAAGAACGATCTTTTAAACCTACGGCTTCAGACTCTGGTACCCGCAACCATGTTGAAAAGCTCCACAACAGTGGCATCTTGATTGGTGGCCAGGTGGTAAAGGTTATGAAACCTCTCCCTAGGAGGGGTATGTCCAATCCACAAGTCCGACCAGAACTGGATTCTAGTGTCTGCTCTGGCTCAATACCGGGAGTGGGTCTTGAAAAGAGCGAGGGAATGGTTTATAGCTTTCCAAAATCCAAACACTAGAGGAATTACTTTTCATTCCACCTTGTGGAGCCAAACGGAGGCCAGGATGCAGTATTAAGACGATAGGACCTCCCTCCAAAGGCGGTTTGCCTGGTCACGTAGTGCCACCACCATTTCCCTAATAGAGCCAAGTTGCAAAGCTTAAGCCTACGGATGCCCAAGCCCCCAGTCCATATAGGCCTACATACTTTGTCCCAAGAGATCAGGTGAAACTTGCGACCATAGAAACTGCCTCCTGAGTTGTACCATCCCTCGACCATAGAAACTGCCTCCTGAGTTGTTCTAAGCGGGCGACGACCAAGGCAGGCATTAGGAAAAGGGGCATTTGGAAGACGGGAACATTGAGAGTGACCTTGATGAAGGTGGTGCGACCTGCGGGGGAGAGGAACTTGGCCTTTCAAGCTGCGAGGTGCCAATCGAACTTATCAATAAGATGACTCCAGAGACAATGCTTCGGCTTCCCTAAGCAATTTGTTTGTGCAATTTGCTTTGTGATAGCTTTAATAGGGCTGGGGGCATAATAATGTGGAGTATGTTATTCTTGAAGAGAATCACTATTTTTCAGAATGTTATTGTAATGTTAAAGTTTGGATATTGTGTTGTTTTGAATTTCTATGGTGAAGTACAGTAAAATCCGCATAATCATGACAAATGTTATGGTCATAGGCCTCATCATCAGCCAATGAATGGGTTGGCAATTATGGGGGGAAGTGGGATGTAGGCACGAGTTAAGGACATGTTTCATGCCACCTACTCTTCATCCATCATCTTGCTATCCACTGGTTGGATAATGACGACCCTGCGTCCAACTTGTTGCCATGATCATATAGGCTATACTATGCCTTCAATTTTATTTAGAAAATACTGGAAACAATGTGAGCTTATGTCTTAAGTTGAGGCTTAAAGTTTTCATTGTCTTATCTAATGCCAACTGGAATTTTCGATTGGGCTAGTGGTGAAGCAGCTGATGGCCAACCTATTGTGTTAACAGAAGTGGAATGCTCAAAATATATGTGATGTTCTTTTTTGCTTTTTTACTGGTTTAGTATTCTGGGTTCCTTCGGTGATGTGGCTATGGGGCATTAGTCGTTTTGGTTACATGTACTTTGTTCCTTATACATATCTTTGAGCACGTTCCTCAGGAAAATCTTTGCACTTGTTACGTACAGCATGAATTATCTGTCAGGATTGAATGATCCCAGGACTTCTGATCATACAACATAAGATACTCGTTCAGTTTAGAAGCTAAACTGCCTTTGAACTACATTGAGATTTGCTGTGGCTGTGTTGATATTTTTTTTTTCAGTTACTTGATTCATGAATAGGCTGGTTAGTAGTAAGGAATACCTTGAGTCACATCTGCTGAGGGTTAAGGGGGTGTTATGTTGTAGGATCAGAGGGGCTTGGCTCCTATACAAACACAACATGCAAGGTGGTCACGGAGAAAGAAGTTTGGGTGCGATTAGGATTCTAATTAGGATAGAGTTTAGGAGTCTTAAAAGGCTTTGGGTCCCTACAAAGATTAGGAGGTCTTATGAAGGCTTCCTAATTGGGACTATAACCGTCCCGGCATAGTTCATCAATAGTTCTCCTCTCCGGTTGAGTGCTAAAGTCCTATTCTTTCAGTCCAGAGCTTCGGTACCTCTCCTTTGCAGTCGAGTGTCTTTGTGACTATCCTGTGTCGGGTAGGGCTTCAGTACCTCTCCAGCGCAGTCAAGTAGCTTTGCACCTGGTCGAGACCTTCTGTTAAGCGTAAGGCTTAAGCACTATCCTGTTTTGGGTAGGGTTTTAGCCCTCGCCAGTATAAGCACGTGGAACATATGCATCAGCACGTAGGTCCCACTCCAGCCGTTGCTTTTCTTTATGTTACTTCAAAAGTAGCTGCTTCAGCTTTAGCCACTCGAATTTTCGATATTCCTTTCTATTTCTCATTGAATGAATGGCATCTTTTTTGAGTCAAAGGCCTCGGCTTCTAGCAAGTGATCATAGGCCGTAGGCGCATAATCGTCTGTACCATCCGACGAATTATATGATGAGTGGGCACCCTCCGGCATATCTGAATAAAGGTGTGGCAGATTTGCCAAACTTGGGCGGATGGTAGAATTCACTAATACGGGGTCTAAATGAAATAGTACTAAACTTCGGTTTGTGGGCAAGGATTTATTTGGGTCACGATATGTTTTAGGGCTCAGTCCAGCAGGAATAAGGGCGGTTAGGAGGGTCTATGGTTGAATCAGGTAAACCTAGGGGCTCGAGGGTGTAGGGGTGTGGTGGATGGGTTTTGGGAGGTGTTGGCTAACTTATCAGGGCTCAGGAAGGCTGGTTTTGGGAGAGGACAGTAAGCATGACAAGTTTTGTGAAGAAGCCTGGATGGGTGGAGGGATTGAATTGGAAAAAGAAAAGAAAGGATAGGGGCGAGGGACGTAGACCTAGGGGTACTTCAATTTTGCTAAGCATCAACTCCTAACAAAATAACGAATCCATGGTTTCAACTCCATGGGAGAGGAATCAACACCTTGCGTAGAGTCAATAGCACAACTTGAAACACAAATTACTTTTCTTCAACTTCAATCTCTGCAATGCGTCTAGCCTAGAGCCTTTCATGGCATTTATAAAGGTTGGAATTCCTGTTAATTTGATTTATCTTAGGATTCATGCTACCTCTACTTGCCTAAACTTCCTAGTCTACTAGATTCTTACAAAATTAGCTAACTAGTTACTTGTGTAGTTTTAGGATACTAGACCCCTACAAAATGTGGAAAGAATTTTTTCCAGAACTCTCAAACTAAATAGGATACTGTCCTCTATTTGCAAATCTGAATAACATCTTACTAAAAATTAAAAAGGATTCTAACTTGCGTTCGTATATGACTTGACAATGCCATGGTCATGGTGTCATTTTAAAATCCTTTGCTTTTATTTTGTGTTTGACTGTTATATGGCATAAAAAAATGATTTTTGCAGCCTACACTCTGCAAATACCTTAAAATGTAGATATTCTAATCATAGTTACCGGAATCTCTTACTTTGGTAGGTGATCCCTTCTAGGATCTCGATTCTGTTGCTCCCATAACGGATCTCTTAGGGATCTCGATTTTTAAATTTTGGGATCTCAAGATCTACTCATAGGGATCTCGATCCCAATAACCGAACTGATGATTTTCTTTGCTTATATCCAACTAGCAACACAACTATTGCTTGCTTGCTATCAATAATGAGATTCCTACTTTAAAGATTAACATAATTCTAGATTATCATACACTTTAAGGTTGGTAACAAGATCTCCAAAAAGTTGTGATCAAGATCCCAAAAGGTTCGGGATCAAGATCCCCAAAAGTTTGGAATCTCGATCCCTAACATGTGCATTGTACGGACGACGTTCCCAACTCTAGGGATCTTCTAGCATTTCACGATCCCTCGCGCCCGATCCCGATACTAGTACCGATTGCGCTCTCGATCCCAACAACTATGATTCTAATGTTCAGGCCAAAGTCAAACACAGAGGCACCTGAAATGCATACAATATGTGTACACATGCTTACATATACAATTTAGAACATCCTTGTAGTATTATTCTTACTAATAATAAGCTATTGTTCTAGAAGTTTTTAACCTTTACTAAATGCTGATATTTGACAATTGGTCAGGTGCATTTTACGCGATGTCTGTATTTATTTATTCATTAGCTTTCTTTATGTGATATGTAGAAATGTGAATGCTTTTTAGATGTTATTTTACAGCATATCGCCTCTATTTTATTTTTCCTCTGTGCTTGTTATTGCATAATATCATGCAATATGCTGCAAGCATGATTTCATTATTACTATTGCAGTCACATAGAGCAGCAAATGCTAAAAAGGCAAATCTTTCTGCCACCTAAACATAGCTACAGTTTACTAATATCAAATAAATTATAGCAAGTCACAGACCAACTCCCAAAGCATTTATCGCTTCTATTGTACCTATGCTACATCTTGCTAGTTCGTCATTAGTTAAGAAATTCATGTGGGATGCTTGACTATTTTTCTGTATTGAGATGACCGTCTTCCTGTTAGATCTGTGTTTGCATTATTGTGCATATGCTCTGGCTAGGTATATGCTTTGCCAGGATAACACTTGGTTGGATGTTCTTGCCCTTCCATGGGATTTTGACTCTCTTTTTACCTTCATCATTCCAGGGTGAAAATTTCTTCTACTCTCTTTAGCTAAAATAGTAGCACTTCTTTTGTAGGCATTAGCAGCTCTCAGTTTGAAATCAGGTGGGACGGTTCAACAGCGTGCTGAAAGGCTTTTCCTTACAAAGGTATTTTTTAGCCCATATGCTTTAAGTGAAGCTTTGCTAGAACCTCAAGATTGTGGGTTCATAATTGAAACCAAGCTTACACATCAGAAAAAAAGGTGAAGTGGAAAAAAAAAAAGAATTGTCTTGGGGCATTCAATTTTCTATATGGTGTTGTACTTGAACAAAAAAATTCGTCTAACACTTTGCTTATGTATGTGTCTGGGATTTATATGCTAAGAGATGCACATGAATCAAAATTTGTGGTGCAATAGTATTTAGACTGAGAAGAAACTTAGGAAAAATGGAAATGTATACATGGTGCTAAACTCTTTAGAATATAGAGATGCCTTTTTTTTGGTGATTAAATTACTAGTCTTGGTAAAAAGTTCCTCACTTGTTAAATTTTTTTTTTTTTTTATTTCTCTATAATCCAGTGTTGTTGGAAGTTACAGGTCATGCTAATCATGACATAATTTCTATGCAAGTGGGTTAGTCTTGTGCACATGAGCCACATTTGAACTTGTTATCCCCTCAGGTATCACAGTGGCATAAGCAAGATTATAGAGAAAAATGGATAATGATATTGAACAAAATTTGGCTGGCTTGTATAGCAGTGCCTCAAATCAATGTTGACATGCAGGCCTGAGCTTTATAAGGTGAGATTGATGGGAACATCCAAAGCTGAGCATGGAAATTGCTGATCATTCAAATAGGCAAGATTTAGTTGCTAATACAAGGACATGCACTCTCCGTGTCTTACACAACTCCTTGAACGATACTGTGTACATCCTGTACAGTAAAACATGTTGATGTGTCCACATGTGCGCTACTTATATGTTTATGCAGTAAATTCAGATTTATTTAAGTTCATGGCCCCCAAAGTTATGTTATTATAAAAAGTTTCCCGTCTTTTTCAGGTTCACACCCTTTTTATTTTCTTTTTTAATTTTTCCCAAGATGTCCCAACTTCGTACCTTCATGGTTTGAAGTGAGAAGACAATTCTTGGCTTCGGATATTGAAGATCTGTAGTTAAGACGCGGTGATGGTTTCGGATCTTCAACATCTAAGCCACTTAACTTAAAAGAAGTTGAGCAAGTATTGACTTCAAACTTTCAAGGTCTGAAGTCAAGACTTGTCGAAATTACTTCAGACCTTGAAGTTCTGAGGTCATTTCGACAAAACCTAACCTTTGATGATGAAGGTCTGAAGAAATAGTAAGAATGTTGTTTGGAACTTAGATTTGGAGTTCACATTGGACCTTGGAAGGTAAGAAGTTGGGGCATTTTGGGAAAACATTTTTTTTTAAAAAAAGGGTTATGAATTTTAAAAAGAAAAACTTCGAGAAATTTATAATAACATTACATTACTTGGGACATGAGCGTAAATTTCACTAAGATTTAACATATAAATCAAAATTAAAGTTATTAGATATGCTTGAATGTCCAAATCGTTTACCAAAAAAGCTTGCGACCCTGACCAGATTATACAATTTCCAGTTCGTAGCATGTGAATTTTTCTTGTGTGCTAAATCTAAATTGTGTCCAGCTTTTGTCAAAGTTCTTGGATCGCAATACATGTGCCTTTCAGTTCTTATCTTGTGCCAATTCAGTTTCCAAATACTGTTAAAAAACATCCAATAAGATGTGCAAGCCATATATGTGTTTTCAAATCCTGTTAAAAAACACCCAATAAGATGTGCAAACACCCAATAAGATGTGCAAGCCACACACAGTTTTTTCTCATATATGTGCATGTGCAGTTTTTTCTCTTTTGTATTTGAATCTCTTGTACTTGTTGGATTCATCTTCTTCTTGCTTGTGTGCAGCATACACCCCTAGAGAAGCTTGACAGAAAGCATTTTGCAAAAGGTTCCACCCATGTCATAGAACAGAATAATGCGGCTACCCATTCACAACACATTAGCACCTGTAAAGATATGGCTTTGACGGAAGTCAAGATGCAACGGCTCTGTGAATTGTTGGATGAGGTTTTGGCTACCTTTACTTTTTTCATATATAATGGGAATTTAAAAAATATATAAGTTTTGCTTTTGCTTTCTACCTTCATTATTTAGGATTTCAGAACCAGCCATTTGTTATTCACTGTCTGCATTCTGGATTCTAAACATGATGTCTTCTTTTCACGCGTCTATGCTTAGACCATTGTGCGGACCAAGGAAAATGTGGAAAAGAAACAGGCCCTGACCTATGAAGAAATGGAGGCAGAGCGTGAAGAGGTGAGGTTTACAGCTAGCCAAATGAATGATTATTAAGAAATTAAATTTTAATAGTATGGGATAGAAGTTAGAGACAGATAAAGGTTATTTGATACAATGAATATCTACATTTTATTATAATATTCTGAGTTGTATTTTACTATTTGTGCAGGAAGAAGTCCAAGCTGAGAGTGAAAGTGATGAAGATGAGCAACAGATTTATAATCCTCTAAAATTGCCTATGGGTTGGGATGGAAAGCCCATTCCATATTGGTTGTATAAGCTCCATGGTCTTGGGCAGGTGAGCTTTTACGCCTCTCATGTATCCTTCCTTTAAAGAACTAGTAATTGTCCATGCAATTGCATATTGAAACCTTTTTGTAACGTGCTATTAAAAAAGTTTTCCGCATTCTCCATTCATTAGATCAACAATTTTCCCTTTTGTTTTGGTTTGATAAATTAGATGTATGTTACCCTTTTAAGATGCTGAATATAAATTTCTCTTTTATCAATATATTTATATGTATTACATTTTGATATATGGGGGTGTTTTGTTAATTAATTATTGCCTAACGTTTCATAGTTTTACGTTGTATTTCTATCGTAAAAACATTAATCAATAATATATGGGTGCTGTTTTAAGGTGGCAAGTAAGTTTGCAATGTTGTATATTGTCTATTTTAGTTGGACAGTATAGATTTGACATGTCACTTCAGATAATGTCCAGAAGTGACATCTTTTAAGACGATTTCAAATCTACTCCATTCAAATAAATTGATGATATAGATTAAGGTTGCAACCTTGTGAAACCTTTTCCAGAATTTATCTTCCACATTTGTTTATCATGGGCATGCTGTTAAATTTAATGTTGCATCTCACTGTAAGAAAAGAATAATTTGTGTCATGATTTCATTAAGTTACGGACGATGTGGATATGCAAATGCAACTTTAAAGTAAGAACTTGGAATAAGAAGAATTGCATGTCATTATGACAAGTACGTGAAATCTTGTGTTATTGTTCAATTGCAGGAATTCAAATGTGAAATATGTGGGAACCACAGCTACTGGGGACGTCGAGCATTTGAGCGACATTTCAAAGAGTGGCGCCATCAGCATGGTATGCGTTGTTTAGGTATACCAAACACCAAGAACTTCAATGAGATTACATCAATCAAGGTATTCTCCCTTTCTCTCTCAGGCCATTCTATTGTCTTGGATTGAAATAGATGGATCAAACCAGATTGAACTATTCTCATTCCTGTTGCTGTACTAATATTCTGTGATTTTGATTATGTTTTCTTCAGGAAGCAAAGGTTCTGTGGGAGAAAATACAAGAGCGGCAAGGCGTTAACAAGTGGAGGCCGGAACTTGAAGAGGAGTACGAGGATAAAGATGGCAACATATACAATAAGAAGACATTCACTGACTTGCGACGCCAGGGCCTTATTTAACAACTGACCACCCTTACTTAATGGTTCATATTAGATCTCATATACTTAGTTTAATCTTTGGACTTCCGCTGTCATTTTTGGATTGGAGGATCTCTCTCTCTTTCTGTGTGTATAAATGGTAAGGAACACCTATTATATAAGGAACTCCAATTTTGTACATTGTAGTGAAGATTAGCCTGCAGTCCATGGTGTTGTAGAGAGGATCAAGTATTGGCATGGAATCAAAGATGTTCTTGTTTTTTTTTTTTGAACATTAACACAACCTAATCAAATATGTTTTTATTTCAGGTTTTTACTTATGATTTAGAGATCAAGATTGATCAATAATGTTTTCTTGTGATTTTGAGTTCAAGATCGATATTTCAATATGACAACATACTCGCTTAGTTGGTTGTCATGGAACTCAGTCTGTTAAGGATCCCAGTGATTTGATTTGGCCAAATCAATGGTTCCCACCTAGCTTATTGTTAATTATCTCATTATTTTTAATTCTTTAATATAAAAATAATGATCGAAATTTTGTTTTTTCACCGATTCCCCTCGGATAATTGATATACCTATCCAGGTTTTAAAATATTGTTTTATTCGAAGTAATTTTCTAACAATCACATGTTTTAGGTGAGAAATAACTAAAATAAGCTGAAAATAACGTTATATAATTAAAGGGAAAAGTTTATATAGAGCTGAGGCTCTAAACATTAAAATTAGAGCCTACCTAAAAAGTTTCACCATAAGAGGCGGTTTTGATGCCCAAATATCTATCAAATTGATCATCTCAAAATCAAGATGCATTCAAGATGCATTGACATGAGAAAAAAATGGATTTTAGATTTAGAACATTGTGTAATTTGTAACATGGTTTTGGACCGTCAATTTTCAATATTTTTAAGTTTTCATAGATCTGTTTGATTTACACTATTTTTAAAGCTTTAAACTTTATAAATAAAGATGGAAATCTATTTTAAATTTATAACAAAGATTTCAAATATTGAAACCGCATTTCTTGACACTATTTGAAAGTAGGCTCTCGTTCCAGTGTTTGGAGCTTAAGCTCTATACAAACTTCACCCATAATTAAATAGTGTCCCAAAAAAGTGACAAAATAGTATTAACTAGAATGTATTAATTTTAGATAATATAACTTATGCCTAATGAGATAAATTGTGATCTAGGCCCTAGGAAATAACGGTTACCCACTCGGTTAGATCGGAATCAGCCAATGGTCGGTTTCCATTTTAATGATTAACCGGTATTTTAAACTTTAAATAGAATACGACTTCAAATTCATATCAAATATATTAGAATGGTTTGCTGTTAGTTGTGATGATTAAGTTTTATCTCAATTACCAACAATGTTTTTTTTTTATGACTTCATTTTCTCTTGTCGGAATCGAACTAAAATTATAAGAAATTATTTAATATTAGGCACACTAACCAATACACCATTTACTATTTGGTTGATAAAAAGAAGGGCCTATATCAAACTTAATATTTTTTTTATTTTCTTTTTTAAAAAAGGAGTTGGTCAAGTTGATTTTTTAACACCGTTTTACTATTCTTTACATTATGTTAAAAGATTAAAAATTGTTTTGATCATTAATATTCACTTTTATATCTTCCCATCTTTTTCAAATTTTTTTAAAAATACCTCTAGGCACAAATCAATTTGTTAAAATCCACTTTTTTATTTCATTAATTTTCAATTTCATTTGAGTGCATTTTGTTATAAACATTCTTTATATGTTTTTCATATTTTAGTAGATTTTTTTTTATTTTTTTATTGTTTATTTTAATACTTTTTTAACCGTCTGGGACTTGCTCGGTTAGAGGGGTTGAATTGGCCGGTTACATCGCTTCCGGGCTCATGTCCAGTTAACGGTTTCGGTTCGATTTTACGAACATTGAGTACAATAAGGGAGGACACAAACAACTTATGTAGTGTATTAAATGAGATACAATGAGACCATTTATCTATTGTACAAGGAGATCACAATTTTCTTATAACCATTATGATGTGAAATTTGATAGCTTTAGCGTATCACAAAGTTTCAAAAAATTTCGTTTGGACTTTGTGCTTGATCAATGGAATAAATAGGATGCAATTTCATATCCAAAGGTCAAGATTAATTCTCACCACGTCACCACCTTGCACAAAAAAATTCATTCTATACTTTTCCATATTAAATTTTGGGGGGCTATTTACCTTTGGTGTCAACTTTAGACCACCAAACAAAGGCGCACCTGCAAACCTTGTCCTAAGCGGTTCCCAAGACAAATTCTTGCGATAGTAAATCTATTTTCATGTGAAATTAAAGCTTAAAAACATACAAGTTGAATACATCTATAAATACTTAAAGGATTTTTCAAATAATATGTGACAAGATGCATTATTTCTTAAAAAATTCAAGATGATCAACGGGAGAGTCTACCAATTGGTCAGAAAAACCTTTCTCCAGTGGGTTTTTGAGATGTCTTATTTCCTTATATTATAAAGGCTCATTCTTATAATATAACGTTGACACCTTGTATACAATAAACTAATTTAAACTCGACGTTATACAAACATTGTCCTAAACTTCTTCGAATAAAGATAGCGATTATCCGCAATTCTAAATACCCCTCCACTCCAAATATTCAACCCAATTGACACCAAATCCTCTCCGGATCATCCCTAAATTCGTTTCCTTCTCCAAATTATCTTTGAATTCTTTTCTTCTTCGCTTGAACGGCTGCAGTTGAGAACATAGTAAGTCAAAAAATAATAATATACCAGGTTTGTCCAAAGGGCAAAATTTCAGGGCAAACATAGAGATAATAAAAAATTAGATAACAGACAAATAGCTAATACTACATATTGCCTAAAACAAAAGAGAAAAATTAATAATCATATATAAACATGAAATAAGGAAATGATTTCTAGTTAGTGTAAGGATACAATTAAGTTATTGAACACTAATTTTATGTCATGAATTCTTAGAATTTAAGGTCCTTGACAAAAAAATTTGTGCAAATTTTCATTAGGTGATAACACGATATACGTCCCCAATATCATTTCACAAAACATATAATGATCTTATTAAGCGCATAAACATATAATGATCTTATTAGGCATATCAACTGAGAAATATTGAAAATGGTGTTGCTATTGATTTTTTCGGGACCTTATGATAGACAGATTAATCACATATAATGTGTTGGTAGCTCAGGAGTGTGTTCGTTCTAAAGTTCTGAGTGGGATGCTTAGGGTAGTGATCAAGCTAGATATGGAAAAGGCGTACGATAAGGTGGAGTGGAGTGTGTTGTTCTAAATCATGAAAAATATGGGTTTTGGATAAAAATGGAGGAGCTGGATCTATGAATGCCTGTCATCGGTCCATTTCACCATTCTTTATAAGGGAAGTCCTGCGGGTTTCTTTAAAGCCTCTCGAGGACTACACCAAGGTGATCCCCTATCGCCATTTCTTTTCACAATTTATGTTGAGTGCTTCAACTTTCTAATAAGAAATGTGGAGAGTAGGGGTAACTTTTAAAGATTCAGGGTATCTAATAGAGGGCATTGTATATCGCATTTACAATATGCTGATGATACCCTGATATTATGTGGAGTAGAAGCTGCTAAGATTAATAGTATAGCCACTTTCCTATGCTGCTACAAGGTGGCTTTGGGGCTTAAAGTGAATTTTAATAAAACTTCTATGATGGGGATCAATTGTGGTGACAATCTGGTTTTGGAGTTGGCTGGCATGTTGGAGTGTAAAGCGGATCAATTTCCAATTACATATCTTGGAATGCCTATCTATGATGGAAGGCTTCCGTTAGCCGTGTGGGATAAAGTAATACAGATAATCTAATTTAAGTTGGATCTCTAGAAATATAAATACTTATTTTTGGGGGAAGAATCACTTTATTGCGATCATGTCTGGCGAATTTACCTATATACAAGATATTTATTATATAAATTCTATTCTTTATGGTTAAAAAAATAAAAGTTCCATTCTTTATGGCTAAAAAAATAAAAGGGATTTTGAGGAACTTTTTGTGGAGCTCCTCTAATGCTTCACGAAAATTCCTCCATCTTCTTAGATGAGGTTTCGGCTACGTCATCTTAACGAAGTGCCAGAATCACAAAGATTGAAGGATAACTTTACAAAATTTAGATTTTTATCCAATGTATTTTATGAATAATAATAACATTTCTTTTGTCATAATGAAGCATGTATTCATTTTTGGGTGAACTGCATTATTATATACATCACCCTCGAAGAGTTAAGTGGTTTCATAGAAATGCATTATGCATTGTAATGTTGTTTAGCATAAAGCAATTGATTTCTCTAAAGATCAACATTACAATTGAGATAATATTCTGTTAGTATAGTCCATACCTAATGTAACTTTTTTTTTTTTTTTTTTGGTATTATATCATACTTGTGGGGTTTTGTGCGTTGTATGTAGAAATGAAATAATGATCATATAAATAATTACGTAAATATGTAATCAAGAGTATGTGGATATGTTATATTTTTGCAAATATGCGATGGAATAGTATATTGATATACGTTAACCGATCACCTAAATAATTACATGATTTTCCAATGGAAAAGTTCCATTATGCATAATATTTATCTACGATTCTTATTATATTTTCATAATTGTTGTAATATTTATTATAATAATTCTAACATAGGAAAAGTTTATATAAGGTTGCAACCTTAAAATGTAGAATCACAGATGCACCTCAAAAATATATCGGAAATATTGTTTTAATATTGAAAAAACACTCTAGTCGATCATCTCGACATCGAGATATATGAATATGAAAAAAAAAGTTTTTAAGTCCCAGAAATAATGCATCTTGCAACAATTATCTAGACCGTCCATTTTCAAGATTTTCATATATTTATAGATCTATTTGATTTTGACCATTTTTGGGATTTAAAATTTTCTAATTAGGTATGAAAATAGATTTTAAGATAATACTAAGAATTTTTTACAACAAAATTACATGTTATGATAAAATTTTAAGGTGCGCCTTAATTGGATTGTTTAAGGTTGCAATCTTATAGAAACTGAACGCTTCTAATATTACTATAAAAAACAGTTAATAATAATAATTTAAATTATTATCTTAACTTTAAATTACTTATAATAAATTCATATAATTTTATTTTTAGTATTTGATTATATTAGACAAATTTGGCTATTGGATAGTACTCTGAAAATTTAGTTAATTCCTTTCAAATGATAGA